ATCCATAATCTAGGATTCTTTAGCTACTAGGTATTGATAGTCTGTTGATCACACTTATTTCCTCTGTTCTTATCTTTGGACTCAAATGGATGATACTCGTATTTGCAGGTGGAAATATTTCTGTCAATTTTATGTTGGTTCATTTGATAAGTTTCTCAATAATGGTGTTATGCCCAGAGAAGGCTAAATTGCAGAAAGTTTCTTCCCTCTGTGTTTGGATTTCAATGGGGTTAAGGGAAGTTAAGGGAAACTAGGTGAGAGAATGGAAGGGAAGGGAAGGGAGTTCCCTTCCCCTTGGTTACACCCCAATTTGGGAGGTAACAAATTTTATACTATTAGGGGGTGAACCAAGGGGAACTAGGGTGAATAACTTCACCTCCAAAATGTTCCCAAACAAGGTGAATGGTTCCCATAACTTCCCTTCACCCTTATTCCCCTCAATCCAAGGTTATGACTTTGGTGAAGTCAATACTATAAAATAAATTATGACTGTGCAACTTACATAGCAGAAATGTTTTAATTCATTAGACCCATCTCTTGGAACCTTCAATGTAGCATCTTATTTTCAATTTTATTGTTTTTTTCTCTTTTCTTGCAGTGATTCGGGACTTCTGGGTCAATACTTTCATGTCAAAGGCAATCCTAGGTCTTTGCTCATGGCGAACAATTTGGAAGAAGGACATAATTAGAAAGAGGAACGATGTGAGATATGGTTACGATGGCTCTGATACTAATTTTGGACAGAAAAAATTTAAGACTCTTAATGAGAATGCTGGTTCTCTGAGTCTCTGACTTAACTGCCTCCATTATTTATCTTGTTGATCTTTTGGCAGATATTTGTCTTTGCCTTTGAAGATAATCAATATTTATCCAGCATTTTCTTAATGGCCCTCAATCTACTGCTCATGGCTCTTCTAATGCTAACAGTTGATGGTGGAGAAAATGATGATGATCCTCTAGTTGGATATTTTCTCATATTTATTGGTGTTTATGGAGATCCTTAATTCTTTCAATTTTCAAATATCTGTAGTTCTCTCAATATCTGTTTGTTAGATCAAGATATTTTATGATGTCTGTCGATGTTTATTATAAGCAATGAAAAAGAGAGAATATAAGCACCTTCGGTCCAGTTTGTCCAAAAACAGCATTATCAGCTGCGATTGTTAGATCACAGACCATATGTAATACGTGCCCACCACCAACAGCATAACCTGCTACCTGATGTCAAAAGAAGTAGGCTTTAATAAAAAACAGAGTATTTGAAAGATAAATAGTTTATTGTCCGGTAAAGAGTGTACCATTGCTATGACTGGCTTAGGAAGGCGGCGTATTTGTACCTATAAGAAAACAAAAGAAGATAAAATTTCAATGCAGTTACCGGTTAAATGGGACAACCTTAATTGTTACAGTGTTTAAAAGAATGGAATATACTTGATTGTGAATTTTTAAATTTAAATATCCAGTTCTACAAGCTCCAAATAACAAATAAAAGATTGATTACTGTAGTGTCTACCAAAAAAACTTGCTAAGCCTAATTGGATATACTGAACTGATAATATATGTTCGATTATTGATGATATGTTGCTACATCTTAAGGTCCAAGAGCATGCTTGGCAAATGAGCAAAGTGGCTTACAGGCCACATTGAGACTTTTGTGGCTTATAGGCCACTTTGAGATTTTTGGTAATTGGCTTATTTTGGCTCATAATCCACCAAAAAAGAAGCTAGGTATATGCTAGGGTACCTAGCTTATGTTTTGGTGTATTATAAGCCATGATGTTTGACCGGGTAAAAGACAAGTATACCCCTTATGATTTCACAGAACTCAAGGCCTCAATTAATAAATCACCACGAAACCTAATGTTTTTATTAATCATTTTGACAAAAATGATGGATTATACTCTACCAATTTGCCAAACATTATACTATTGAAAATGGATTATAATCCACTAACTTTACCAAACACTTTTAGATTATAATCCTCTTGGACTATAATCTATTTGTGGATTATAATCTTTCACAAACATGCTCAAACAGGAACCATCACGTTAGTGACATAATGATCATAATGCTACCTATCACATGCAAATATTGTTTTAAAGTAGCACCCCTTCCAGGCCATGACGTTGTAAATTCCATATACACTATTGAGGCTTTGACCTTCCATCATCAATCCATGATTTCTTCTTTTTATAGACTAGAACTAATCAAACTTTCAATCTTCCATCCTTCTTACATCATGTTAATCATGTTTCTTCTTCTTTCCTTGAGGGACATGACAGTCATTCCTTACTCTTGAACTTGGAGCCCAATACCAACCTTCACGTCTGCGGAAACTTTGTCCCTCATAACATAATCAAGGATAGAGACATATCCATGACATGCATAGGACATGGAAGAAAAACATCTCCACGGGAAGATACTTAAAGAGTACAAGTGATCATACTCCTGATCTAAATGCAAGATATTGGAAGTATTAACCTTTCCTATAAATCAATAAAAGGATGTTACATAGAGAACTAACTCATCCCATGACGAAACCTGCCTTTTTTTTTGTGAAGTAGCCTTCCCTTCAGTGAAAAACATCACAAATTGATTATTCACATCTTCCGACTCTGATCGCAAGGTGTGAACCATGGCTTTCTCTGCACGATTCTTCTCTTTTTATTTACTTCGAGATTCAGGAGTCTTAATCAACATTTTCCTTCTTCTCATCCATAGAGATCTTTCATCATGAGAAGGTTTATACCCTTCTACTAGTTGCCAATTTCTAGACAGCATTCTTGAATCACAACCATCTTAATCATGCTGAAAATCATAATTCAATTCAAAACCATATTAGGCTAGCCCAGGTTGGACAACCATTCGATTAGCCGGTCCATCAAAATTTTCTCTATGCTAAACTGATTAAATTTTCGCCTTCAGTTTGGATATGTTTGTATGTTTATTTTTTTAGCCTCTTTGATATCATGGACTACAATACAATAACCCAACAGGAACAATTTTTTGATAAGTTAGTGGCAAAAGCATCATGTGACAAGGCACTGAGGGCACAACATAGTTTTATTTTTCATAGGATTGTAAAACTGTAAGTTATGAGATAGAAGAAACAAAATAAGATACAAGTAATATTTGTAGACGCAGGTACCTGAAGATCCAAAACATTAAGACGGCCAAAGCTCTCAAAATCAGCATATCCATCAGAACTTCTTAAAGCTTGATCACCACCACTACAAAAAGCCTTTGTTCCCTGTTAGAAGCCAACTGCATAAGCTCAGATGGTTGAATACGTAAAACCAACGTATTAAATATCAGCCGATATATTGCTATATTGGCTGATATATCAATTTTGATATCCTTCCAATAAAGTATTTATGAAAAAATATCGTTTTCCGATTTTTATCACTTTTTCCGATATATTGGAAATATCGGCCGATATTTCATTGAACAAATATCGGTCGATATTGGCTAATATCCAAATAAAAATGGTTATTGAGTTTGGGTTTGGTTTTAGTTCCCCACTAGACCCGAAAACTTAATAAAATTTCAAACCCAAATACCCTAAATCCCTAATCAATCTCATATTTCTCCTTCCTCTTCGTTCGGCATTCTAGCTCAAAAACGCTAGGCAATCTCAGGTACGAATTTCTCTCCTCTCTCTCCACTCTCTATTTCTCTTCTCCAGTTCTCCTCTTTCAGCTCTCTCTCTCTCTCTCTCTCTCTCTCTCTCTCTCTCTCTCATCTTCTCCTCAGACCATTCTGTCTCTGTTCCTCTCTCCTCCCTCTCAACTTCTCTCTCCCTTCTCTCTCTGTCTTCCTCTCTTCTCTGTCACCTATGTTCATGTCTTCTCTCTCTGACCTCTACCTGTATCTAATGTCTCTAAACATCATATATCATTATTCATGATGCAATTACTTATGTTTAGAATACATTAAATTTGTTTTGATTACATGTTACAATGTTATGTCATATATGAACATCATCCGATATGACACCCCAATACTTTTTACATATCCCCGATTTTCACAATCCGATATGGATTTTGGCGATCCGATATTTTTGATATTTAATACATTGCATAAAACTAAATAAATTGTGCGCCTATCAAAGAATGAAAAGCATAAATATGATAATTTCTCATTAATATAGTTAATAAAAACAAATGTAGTTGAAGGCAAAATACTATTATTAATCAATGAGAACATTTGTAATGGATTTTTTTGAAGTTTTGATATAGTGTTTTGTTCTCTCTATCTATATAATTTAAGCAAGAAATATTGTGAAATACTATTAAACAAACTGTCAAGTAAAATTCGAGATTTGCTAAACAGAATAGCCATCAATGAGAAAATGACATGATTTTTGTGGTTGATATTTCTCACCAAGATTTCACAAGCTTCGAACGCTAGTTAAGTTTGAACAAACTAAAGAACTTAAATATAATTGTACTTAAATAATAAGCACCTTCCCTGTTAGGATGATTACTCCCACATGGCTATCATCCCTAGCGTCATTAAATGCATGCATAAGTTCCTTTATTGTATGAGGCCGAAAAGCATTTCTTCTTTCTGGACGATTGATGGTAATCTGCAGCATTGGGAAAAAAACAAACAAACAAACATCATTTATAACTCATCCTATATAATGCATATATTTGGCTCTAATTTAGAACTATATACAGTTACTTGAACTACTACTCAATTTAGGTGGGGTAAGATTACTAAACCATCATCCCATGTTACTCTTTGTAATAAGATCTCGACATGAAATTGTCAGTCCCTTTACCCATCTCCCACAAGGCTTGAACCTTGGATATATCAAAATTCCATCTTTCATGTCAGATCATAGGAAAGTCCACAACACTGAAGAGAATTCTTTTTTTTTATGAAATATATTGTCACTTCACTTGTTGATGCATAACACCTTTGAACATCTTTATCTTCAAAGAGGCAATTTTGGGCTCTCTCCAGCCTTTCCTTCTCTCTATTTTCTCTCTTTGTGTGATGGAGTCTGCATCTTTCTCTTCAAAGAACTTCATTAGTTATGAGATCCATCATAATTACGCATAACCTTATAATCCCGGAAATCATTCAATAACATATTTTTGATTTAGCATTAAAGAGATCCAAACCTGATCCTAAAATCCTAATTTGACCAAAACTTCGATTCAAAGTATTCTCCAGTATAATTGGTAATTCTTTGACTTTACTCTTTGGGTTGCAAATAAGTCATAAACAAAAAAAAAATCACTTTAACTGCACAAGCAAACTAGATAGTATTTTGAATAAAGCCCATTTACTTACATTGAAGCACACATATAAACCACATGCAAATAACCCTATTAATTATTCATAGTTATCACTGAAAAGGTTTAAAGCAAAAGGAAACTTATGAAATAATTGGATTTAGGAGTGTTTAGGGATTGGTTGGAGAAAACCAAATTGCCATTGGTTTAATCACCTAAATAGCTCCTTGGTAAAATGGAGATATATGCAGAGGACTGAATTTTGGACATCTTCCGAGCTGCCTTACGAAAAGTGTCCTTCATCTCAGAGTTATTTATGTTACCTACTGATGCGACGTCTACCTAAGAAATTATCAGAGTCATCTTCATTGATAAACCACGAGTCTCTTAGTCTATCACTAATCCTCTTATAGAAATTCGTGGTCAGCCTGATTGGGAACGTGTGTTGCTTGCGCGGGTAACCTCTTATCAAAGTTGTGAGGGGGTTGATGGTTACAATTTCGTACTCTTCGTATCTTTTTTAGGACCCCAATAATTGAGCTGTAACCTCACTAGCAAAAACTATTGCAGATAATTTTGATTGATCCGCCCCGACTCGGAAGCTTCATCCTCCGAGAAGAAAATTAGAGAGGCCGTTTCTAGCCTCTCTAATTAGAGAGACACCGTGAAACCCAACGTTAAGTACTCTCTCAATACTGACATCCCCAAGAGAATTGATATTTACTGGGCCAGACGTTGAATTTTCAGGCCAAATAAGTTCACATTCTCCGTTCCAATCAAATCAATCCCCGCTATATTTTCTTCCCTTTCAAGTGTAAAGTAATTCAAACCTAAGACATTTCACAAATACCACACCAAATTGCATACCAAAAAAAAGCAACCAAATCGACTTTTTCTCATCACCTTGGCGATCCCTTCACCGGCGGCTTTCTCGTAAATAATGTCGGTGAAACACTTCACATTTTTGGAATCGTCGCCGTCGCTGACAGCTGCGGGTCTCCACAGACTGCGGCGTCTCCCTATTCAAACCTGCGAGCGTCGCACTCTGCCCGCTGCGGATGCGCCTGTTAGCTGGCTAGCATCCTCCGCACCCTCCTGCTGCCCTCCTCGATGAAACCAGCGAAGGAGGGAAGTGAGGATGACAGGAGGGGCGGATCAAGTCGACTGCTGATGTTTGCTATCCCTTCTCTCTAGCTCGCTCCTCGCCATGGAAAGATAAGGCTGACGGTGGTGTTGGTTTTGGTGTTAGGATGAGAGGGTTTTGGCAAAAGTGGAAAGGATAAATTAAGGGCTTCTTTGGATTGAGGGAAATGAGGGTGAAGAGAAGTTAGGTGAACCATTCATCTTGTTTGGGCCTGTTTGGATTCGTAGAGGGTGAAGGGAAGTTAAGGGAAACTGAGTGAAGGGAAAGGAAGGGAAGGGAAGGGAATTCCCTTCCCCTTGGTTACACCCCAATTTGGGGTAACAATTTTTATACTATTAGGGGGTGAACCAAGGTGAATGGAGGTGAATTAACTTCACCTCCTAAGTGTTCCCAAACAAGGTGAATGGAGGTGAATGGTTCCCCTAACTTCCCTTCACCCTCATTCCCCTCAATCCAAACAAGCCCTTAGGAGGTGAAGTTAATTCACCTAGTTCCCCTTGGTTCACCCCCTAATAGTATAAAAATTGTTACCCTCCAAATTGGGGTGTAACCAAGGGGAAGGGAATTCCCTTCCCTTCCCTTCCCTTCCCTTCACTCAGTTTCCCTTAACTTCCCTTCACCCCCTACAAATCCAAACAGGGGGGATCGTCGTATCATTCGGGGGAATTATCATATCATTCGCGGTGGCAACGAGTCACGGGTAGCCAGTTGTTAGTATTGTGGTCGGATTAGGGTGTTAAACCATACCTGTATCCAAGTAAATATCTGTAACTGCATTCGTTAGGATACGGATGTGGTTACTCAAATCTATAACGATAGGATATGATTAGAAATATGGTTTTGTAGTGAAATATCAAGAACCGTATCCGAAATATCCGAATGCATATTAGTCGTATTGTTACAATGGTTTTAGTCTTTAGATTATGGTTATGAGGTTAATTTTGATGATCAAGATATCTAATCTTACTTTTTCAGATATAATGAACATACTAATAAACTCTTTTGTATCACATGAACTATAATTTTTTTTTTTCAAAACTATCTAGTTTTCTCATATCCGTTTTATATCTGCATGCATACCCGCTTATATATATGCATGTATATCCGTATCTGCATCCGATTTTAGCGGATATGGATATAAATTTTCCTTACCAAGGTATATCTATGTCTGTATCCGTATCTGAAATTAGTAAGCGGATATAGATACGGTAAGCATCATATCCTAGCCATATATGGACTCTATGTCTGTATCCATATCTGAAATTAGTAAGCGGGTATTGATACGGTAAGCATCATATCCTAGCCATGTCCAGACTCTATGTTTGTATCCGTATCTGAAATTAGTAAGTGGATATAGATACGGTAAGCATCATATCCTAGCCATATATGGACTCTATGTCTGTATCCGTATCTGAAATTAGTAAGTGGATATAGATACGGTAAGCATCATATCCTAGCCATATCCAGACCAAATGCACCCCTCGGGCGAATCCTACAATGCTCACATGCTCTTGTATTAATACGGACGGAATTAGGATTCTCTCCAATTAAGACATAGTTTGGTAGAGGCTAACAAGAGGGACGATGAGGTGAGGGGAGGTGCAATCAGTTGCAAAAAGTACATGCATCTTTTTATTTGGCTGGAGTGGGGGGGAGAGAGAGAGAGAGAGGGAGGGAGGGAGGGAGGGAGAAAATACATCATTTTATATGGTCCATTTTCTCTCTCTTTTTCCTCCAATTTGGAGAGATTCTTCTCTCTCCTCATTTCTACTTGAGTTTAAAGTTGTTCTACTCTACCTCACTTCACTCTATTTTCCCTTCTAAAACCACTCTACCAAAGACACTCAAGTTGATTTTAGTTTTAAGTTTTTTGGAGAGTATTCAATTCTTTTAATCTTTACCATCAATCACAATTTTAAATGATAAAATAACATCATATAGAATTTTCACAATCAAACTACCTGTTTTCTAAATACCATCACATATTTGATGTATGTGACTTTATTTATAATAAGGAAAAAGTTTAATATAGGTCCCAATGTTTTAGTCTAATTTCAATTGGGTCCTTAACGTTTGAAACTCATCAATAGAGATCCTTAATGTTTACGTCGTAATCAATTTGGTCCTTTTTTATTTTTTTTGTTGACTTTTGCTAATGTGACATGACTTTTTGATTATTTTTGTTTAAAAATTTTGCTTCCACCCCTGATTTTTAAAAATCAAGTTCTTTTCCTAAGTGAAAACTTAAAAGATTTTACCCCTCTAAACATTTAATTCACATTGTCAAGTCCCCCTCTCCCCAATAATATTTTCATTTATCCCTAAAATACCCCTAATTTTCCATATTTTAAAATTAGTCCTTCAAATCATGGAAATTGCTATTGGACCCCAAAATTCATAAGGTATTTTCATATTAGTTCTCTAAATCATTAAAATTGCTATTAGATCCCTCAATTCTTAAGCTATTTTTTTATATTAGTTCATCAAATCAATAGTAAAACTAGCAATCATGGGGACTAGCTTGAAATAAATTTTGGGAATTGTATGACATAATAGAAGTTTGGATAATTTGAAAGACTAATTTCTTTCAAATTTATATTTTTACTATTGATTCGAGGGAAGAATTTCAAAATAAACTAAGAATCAAGGGACCCAATAGCAATCTTAATAATTTGAGGTTCAAAATACCATATGATTGAGGGACCCAATAGTAATTTTAATAAATTGAAGAACTAATTTTCAAACTACCATATAAATTGAGAGACCAATAGCGATTTCCATGATTTGAAGGGCTAATTTTAAAATATGAAAAATTAGGAGCATTTTAGGGATAAATGAAAATATTTCCAGGGAGAATGAACTTAACAATGTGAATTAAATGTTTAGAGAGATAAAAGCTTCTAAGTTTTCACTTGGGGGGCAAAGGTTGCTTCTCAAAAACCAGGGGGTGAAGCAACTTTTCCAAACCAAAAATAACCAAAAAGTCATGCCACATCAGCAAAACAGAAAAATAAAAATAGACCAAATTTGATAATGGGGCAAACGATTAAGGACTTCCATTGATGAATTTCAAACTTTAAGAACTCAAATTAAATCAGGCTAGAATATTAGGGACTTATATTTAAGTTATGCCTTATAATAATATCAAATATTTCTAGAAACTAATTTAAAATTCCAAATAATTGTATTCTAATAGCTCCAGATTTTTGCTATGCTTGAATAGAATGATAAACACAGTACGCTACTTTCATTTATCTATTGCAATATATTGTTTTATCAAATTGTTTTTCTTGGCACTAGATTTAATTGTACAAGATTAGAAATTCAATATAAAAAATTGCAGAGTTTAGTTGAAGTATGTTCTACTTTTAAATTAGTTCTAATTAGGTAGTAATTGGAGAGAGTCCAATTAGTCCAATATTTATCATTTATTCCTATTTTAAGGGATAAGATGAAGTCGCGTAGGATTTTCTCACGAGAATGGTGTTCATGATAGTGATTCTCAAACAATTAATAGTGGTTTCTCAAACAGTTTTCAGAATTTGGGCATTCAGGAAGGTATTTCTTCTTCGTCTTCACTCCTCTACACAAAAATCTAACTCTAAGCGTTAGTTCTGCTTAATTCACCCTATCCCCTTTTAGTTCTTCAGTCCTCTTATTTTGTTCTAATTTTGCCCTAATCTGAACCTCGATCAGCAGAGCACCAAAGTCCTAAATCTGACTATTCTTCAGAGGATCGATCCCCATGTGGAGGAGATCCTGATCACGGCTGCCCACGTTACTTTCTACGAATTCAACATTGAGCTCAATCAGTGGGTATGATTTTGATCATATTTGATGCTTTTTTTTTGTTTTGATTCTGTTTTCGTGATCTCTGATTAGGGTTTTGGTTTGGATTTGTGACCTTAGAGTCGTAAGGATGTTGAGGGATCTTTGTTTGTTGTTAAAAGGTAACTAGATCTAAGGAATTTGAACTTCTTCGTTTGATTGCTTGAGGTATTATTTTAATATTTTTTTCAATTGTGATTTATGCAGAAACACGCAGCCGAGATTCCAGTTCATTGTTATGAACAGAAGGAACGCAGGTGTGTAATTTCCCCCCTTTCATTTGTTTGATTAATTTGATGTTTTGGCTACGGGTAAATGGAGGTTGATGTGTAAGCCAGTAGCAATAGTGGTAGGATGCGAGTAGATCGAACGGATTAAGGAGGTGAAAAGGGTAGTCATATGTTATGTCTAATTCACATGGTCATGCTACTCTGTACTTTCAAAGAGTCTAATTGTGATGTTTGCCATTGACATTTATTGACTTCGTTAGCCTTTACACATGAAAGAAGCTATCTTGACTTTTAAGTATGCTTAGCTTCAGCAATCAGATCATAGAGCAGTCAAATATGTCATATTATGTTAAAAACATGAGGCACACCTGGTATAGCTGTTTTTGACAGATTGCAGCTGCAAATATATTTGTTGTTGATGAATTCTTGTATTATGGAGTCGCTAGAAGTAGTGTATCCAAATCACGGTTCTGTGGGGTTTCAAGTATGCGACAGGTCATGGCATGAATCCAAGCCATGGACATCTTCTCAAAACCTTAGTTGTTTGATGTGTCAGATTGACAGCAGCTCATATATGCAACTTTACACATGAATAGAGGTGTAGGTACGTACATATTTTTAGCTGACTCATTTTGCGACACAGAAAATTTGGTGGAGGATATCTTGGGAGATTTTGAGTATGAAATCCATAGCTGACTCATTTTGCGACACAGAAAATTTGGTGGAGGATATCTTGGGAGATTTTGAGTATGAAATCCGACCTCTGGTGGAGGATATCTTGGGAGATTTTGAGTATGAAATCCAACCTTCATACTTGTTGTACCGGAATGCAGCTCAAGAAGTTAATGGTATATGGTTTTACAACCAACAAGAATGTGAAGTTGTTGCAGCTATTTTCCAGAGGTCAGTACTTAGTGGTTCAAAAACTTACACCTCATGTACAACACATGCATTTCCAGTATCCTTTGTCATAAAATTTGATACTTAAATGATGTGCTAATAATTATATTGTTTTCGTATTTTTAAGAGCAAAGCTTCCATCATTTAGTGGACTTTTCAAAAGAATGTCTGTAACCGACAGATAACTTGGCAAAGCATCTAATTATTTCAAAAGAATGTTTGTAACCGACAGATAACTTGGCAAAGCATCTAATCTCATAATCAAATCATGTTCTGTAAAGCATCTAATTTTGTACAATTTGTTCATGACATTTCTCACCTACATAACATGGCTTCATGTCTGAAGGCATCTGTGCTACATAGTTGATATAAAATATCATGTTCAAAGCTAAGTGGCGTTTGCACACTTTGGTATGTATGTATGTGTCTTTATAGAAATGTGCTCATCATTATTCTTGTTGATTGTGTATCATTCAATACAGCATAATTCTATAGTTATGCAGCCACTTGGAAGTATGAATTCTTGCTTTCTAGGATATATTATTATCTGACGTTAATTTCTAAATTTAGTATGCATTATTAATGTCCATGCCAACGACTTGAAGGTACCTTGATCACAAGATTGTCTTAAAGTACAAAGAAAAAAAATACCAAGCTATTCTTAATATTTCTTGAGAATCAGAAACCTACCGAAGTTATGATGGAGTTTTTCTTCAAAGAGGAATCAAGTCATCTTGATAATACAGAATTCTGATTCCACTGTCTGCTGGCTGACCCTTCCTTATTTTCATTTCATGTTTATCATGCGGTTTGGCTATTTACATTGCAGCAATCAACACAAACATTGTTTGAGGGAACAAGTTATGATGTAAAGATCTTTAATTGTTTGTTAAACATATTTTTTTTCAATTTGATTCTCTTGCTTACAGATGACTCTTTGTTACGCCATAATGAACTTGCTTTGGTAGTGAAAGATCTTACCTACTATTTGCCATGAGTTACGCCATAATGAACTTGCTTTGGTAGTGAAAGATCTTACCTACTATTTGCCATGATGTTTGTTACCATGATGGATATATTAGTGCTTGTTTATAAACTAAAATGTAGTCATGGGTTAACAAATTGCATACTTTGTTATATTTATTACTTGGTGATATTCGTCTTAAATGGTTTTGATGGTGCAGGATACTAAGTGCATTCTCTAAGGTTCCTCCAAAGTCTGGCTTATCTGCTGCTAAAAGGTATAGCGTTAAATATGTAGTAGACTATATAAGTATTTCATTTTGCTGCAACCTCCATGAACTTCATCTGTTATGATGGACAACTCTACTAGAAGTGAGGTAAGTTTGTTCTGTTTCACAAAATGATGGATAACTTGTATAGCATTACAAAACCATTGCATCACATTTCTTATAAATTATTTATTTCATTGGAATAAAGGTAAGTTTATATGTTTTAATTGACCTGTACTAATTACCTTGCCCTTTGTGGAGATGTTGCATTTCAGTTGTACTAACTACTGTTGGCTATTTTTCTTGTTAGGCTTTGAACTTTGCATTGAAGGATTACTTTAAGAGGTTATTCAACTTCAAGAAAGACAGGGATGGCTATTGGAAGTGGTTTGCCGGAAATCTTGCATCTGGTGGTGCTGTTGGTGCCTCATCCCTACTGTTTGTTTACTCCCTGGATTATGCCCGTACCCGTTTGGCCAATGATGCAAAAGCTGCAAAGAAGGGAGGAGAGAGGCAGTTTATTGAAACACCTACTGTAAGAGCATCTGTTATGATGGACAACTCTACTAGAAGTGAGGTAAGTTTGTTCTGTTTCACAAAATGATGGATAACCTGTATAGCATTACAAAACCACTGCATCACATTTCTTATACCATATAAACCCTCTATGTGGACTGGAGTCTGGACTGCATGGTAATTTCTTGAATTCTAAGCAATTTTTCTTTACTTTAATTAGGAAAAGTTGGTTATTTTTGAGTCAAATTCACAACCTTTTGTTTTCTTTTGTATAAATTTCAGATTTACAGGGTTTGGAGGTCCAATTCCTTATCGACCCGTTGAAGATGTGTCCTTTGCTATTGCACAGTTTATACAGAAAGGTGGATCTTATTTCAACTACTATATGGTGAGGATTTAATGTACTATGTATTTGTGTTTCATCGAAATACTATGTTTCACAAGTGTGATTGTTATTTACTTGCTTTTTGGCTATAGTACCATGGTGGAACGAATTTTGGCAGGATAGCTGGTGGTCCATTCATCGCTACAAACTATGATTATGATGCTCCAATTGATGAATATGGTCAGTAAATCATCTGCACTGTTTAATAAGTATGATTAGTTTGCCAGTTTCTCACTTAACATCTTTCTCTTCGAGTCACTATGCAGTAATTTTTAACTTAGGCAAATTTTAGCGCTTAAGAGAAGATATGTCTCTTACCAAGTACACTTGATAGGTAGATACTTTCAATGTGCACACCTATTAGGCATACACTAACACACTTTAAACATTAAAAATGTAATCTTCTTGCACTACTAATGAGTACACTAGAGAAGGTGCAAACACTTAAGAAATTAATAACAAATAAATACATGTTTAATATATACTACTCTATCACCAATTATGGCATAAAACATTTTAATCCGGGATCACGTTTTGTCCTTGCTCTCTGTCAATTCTTGAAAATTTACACTCTTTTTCCATAGGTCTGTTAAGAGAACCAAAATGCGATTGGATTTAGGGCACTAATCCTAATAATTTTCAACAGACATACTTTGTCAACCCCCCCTCCTCCCTCCCTCCCTCCCTCGCTCCCTCAATGGCGTAGTTCTTTTAAGTAACTGCTCACATGCTGGATGCATATGATGACTTGATGAAAGTCAATTACTAAGTTATTTCATGAAGACGATGATTCTCTACTGAGATTGGTTGATGAAGTTGATGAGGAGTTGAGAGTGGAATTGGATATGTTAGACTTGCTGTATCAACAGGTAATGAAAGACATATCTCGAAAAAGGCTGGAGGCCATTGTGGAAGCAAAGAGAAGGGCGGAGGAGAGGAACCAATCATTTAATCGCTGATCTTTCCTCCTCAACATGTTTGCTTTGTATTTTCTGTGGGAGATAATCCTTAGGAGACACTTTAAACAGCATTATTATAGCTGTTTCTATGTCCTTTTTTATGCTAATGGCATTGGCATCTTGGTTACTGCTGCTGCTATTTGCCGATATATGCTTTCCCATTTAGTATTTATGCTTTCTGAGTTTACTTAGGAAATTTTTGGCATGGAAGCCAGTTAAATTATCCCATTTTTCTATTTTCCCTGCTAGAATAGGTGTGAGTCATTGTTCAAAATGCCAGAAAGGATGGCATGGAATACAAACATTTAGCTCTAATTCTTTAACTGAAAGTTGAAGAGGCGCGCTGTTGCTGCTTCTGATCATTGTTCAATCAAGAATCATTACATCTGCTATGTAAATTTCATATTGAATGATCTTGAACGTGATTTTTCTGAAAGACTTTATCAAGTCATTCACATCATGTTGCTCATTACTTCAGAAATCCTGTTTCACAATGACCCATTTGATTGTCATTCCGGTAGTGACATGGAGAGGAACTTATTTATTATTTGTTGCATTCCAGTGTCTTCCCATCGACTAGACAGGTACGTTTTCCTCTTTCACTATTGTAGGGTGAAAATTTGATTCTTCCGAAGGAAGGAGTTTCGTTTGTATTTATAAGAAAGCTTATTACAAACTAACAAATCAAATGTTTACAACAGAAGCAGAGGGAAGGCCCTCTTTGTTTTGTGTGGGGACTTTAGGTGGCTATAGGACGCTTCGCTCGATGCTCGGGTCGAGTCTGCTTCCCTTGGACCGTTTGAATGAGGTTGCTGGAGAGCTTCAGTTCGCAGTAGAAGCTCGGGGCAATGGAGTTCGGGTCTGCTTGGTTCGCCGGCGATCGGAGCTCGGAACTAGGCAGCAGTGCTGTAATGCAAGGATTTGCTAACAGCTTGGTCTCAACTCTTTTTCCAAGTTTTTGCGACCTCCTTTCCATCGTGCTGGAAAGGGTTTTTAAATGAAAGAAGGACGGCTTGATTTCTCCTTGAATTGTGGGATGTGACCACATCCTCTTCAGAGACGTCTCGCCGTTCCTCGATACCATGAACGGTCATTCCAGGGATTGTGCTCTATGTCCTGTCACCTACGATGGGAAGGCCCATTCTTGTATGTGAGGCAACAAACGACTGCTATCCGAGTGGATTTGACCAGCATTAATGAACCACATTTATGAGTTCGCAGATCGATGAAGTGTCTGTCCGATCACTTGTACTGTGCGTGACCGCCCGGCGTGCTTTGAGCACGACGCTTTCTCCTTTCCGGTCAGGAGAGGCGGTGAAGTAGGTGTACAGTACTCGAGTGGGTCTAGCCAGCTTGCCGAGTGCCGGCGGATCCAGCTCTTGGCTCAGACAGCCGAGGTGAGTCGCATTTATGAATGCTCAGGTTGACTCGACACCTGTCCAGTCCCTTCGCGCTGTGCGCACTACGAGCGGCCGTTTGACGGTCCTGGGGTA